TTCCTCTTTTTCCATAACTTTATCTTCTAGTTCACCTATTCTCTCCTCTGCCTCTTCAATCTGAGCCGTGGTGGTTTCCATTTTGTTATGCATTTCGTTTAAAGCGTTTTTCAGCTCCTCGTGACTGTTCCTTAGTCCCTTGATCTCTGTAGCAAGAGATTCTCTGCTGTCAGCTATACTGTTTTCAAGCCCAGCGATTAATTTTATGACTATTATTCTAAATTCACTTTCTGTTATATTATTTAAATCCTTTTTGATCAGCTCATTAGCTGTTGTTATTTCCTGGAGATTCTTCTGAGGGGAATTCTTCCGCTTGGTCATTTTGGATAGTCCCTGGCGTGGTGAGGACCTGCAGGGCACTTCCCCTGTGCTGTGGTGTATAACTGGAGTTGGTGGGCGGAGCCTCAGTCAGACCTGATGTCTGCCCCCAGCCCACCGCTGGGGCCACAGTCAGACTGGTGCGTGCCTTCTCTTCCCCTCTCCTAGGGGCGGGATTCACTGTGGGTGGGGTGGCCTGTCTGGGCTACTTGCACACTGCCAGGCTTGTGATGCTGGGGATCTGGCGTCTTAGCTGGGGTGGGTAGGCAAGGTGCACAGGGGCAGGAGGGGCAGGCTTAGCTTGCTTCTCCTTAGGTGATCCACTCCAGGAGGGGCCCTGTGGCAGCGGGAGGGAGTCAGATCCGCTGCCGGAGGTTTGGCTCCATAGAAGCGCAGAGTTGGGTGTTTGCGCAGAGCGAGCAAGTTCCCTGGCAGGAACTGGTTCTCTTTGGGATTTTGGCTGGGGGGTGGGCGGGGGAGATGGCGCTGGCGAGCGCCTTTGTTCCCCACCAAACTGAGCTCTGTCGTCCGGGGGCTCAGCAGCTCTCCTTCCCTTTGTCCTCCAGCCTTCCCGCTTTCTGAGCAGAGCTGTTAACTTATGACCTCCCAGACGCTAAGTCGCGCTTGCTGTCGGAACACAGTCTGTCAGGCCCCTCCGCTTTTTGCAAGCCAGACTCGGGGGCTCTGCTTGGCCGGCGAGCCGCCCCTCCGCCCCGGCTCCCTCCCGCCAGTCTGTGGAGCGCGCACCGCCTCGCCGCCCTTCCTACCCTCTTCCGTGGGCCTCTCGTCTGCACTTGGCTCCGGCGACTCCATTCTGCTAATCCTCTGGTGGTTTTCTGGGTTATTTAGGCAGGTGTAGGTGGAATCTAAGTGATCAGCAGGACGCGCGGTGAGCCCAGGGTCCTCCTACGCCGCCATCTTCCCTCTCTCCCTCCATCCAACTTTATTTAAACCTTAGCCATTATATTCCTTCCTTCTCTCTGTCTCCCTGACTTCACTTCCTTCCAGGGTGTTGAACAACTCCAGGGTACACCATCCATACTGCACAAGGGGTGCTAATCCCACAGAAATCTTCTGCTGTTGTGCAACATGATAACTTTGCTTCCTTCCCTATCCACCATAAAACCAGGGACACAGTTTCAACTATTCTTTAATTACTACTATTAAAGTTCAGATTAGGAAGAAATTAGATGTATTCCTCAACCCAGTGTGAGCAAAGTGGTCCATTCACTTCCATTGGTAACTTTTTGAAAATAAACTTAAAATACATTTGCCCAAAATACAAAAGCAGAGTGACAACCTAAGTGTTATAGACTGAATGTTTGTGTACCCCCAAAATTCATATGTTGACATCCTAACCTCGATGTGATGGTATTAAGTGGGGCCTTTGGGAAGTAATTAAAACATGAGGATAGAGCTGTCCTAAAGGGGATTAATGCCCTTATAAAAGAGATTCCAGAGAGCTCTCTCTTCCTGCCATGTGTGGCATAATCTTCTTTATTTTTTTTAAGTTTATTTATTTTGAGAGAGAGAGAGAGTGGAGGAGGGGCAGAGAGAGAGGGAGAGAGAGAGCATCCCAAGCAGGCTCTGCACTGTCAGCACAGCCTGACATGGGGCAAACTCACAAACCATGAGATCATGGCCTGGGCTGAAATCAAGTTAACCAACTGAGCTACCCAGGTGCCCCTAATCTTCTGTATTTTTTGGTGTGCTTGTTTATTACAACTCTTTAAAAACCAAAAAATATTCTTAGTAAAAAGTCCATACAAAAGTAATCTGCTCCCTGCCCCCCAAATATCTGGCCTATAGTCTGTAATTTGCTGGCATCCTACTCTAGAAGATGCTCTTCTTTTTGTCATTGATGGCTGTGTGGTCTACAAAGCTGATCCCTTGCCAGGTCTTCCTGAAAATAAACCTGCTGGTCAAGAGATCTACCCAGATACATCTGCAAGCCAGGAAGCAGGCACTCACCAAAACCCAATCATGCTGACACCCTGATCTCAGATTTCTGGCCTCCAGAATTGTGAGAAATTCCTATTGTTCATAAGCCACCCAGCCTATGTTTTTTTGCTATAGCAGCCTTAGTTATGACTCTATGTTTCTTCCTATCCCAGTGAGTCTCCAAATTTCAGTACTCTTAATTCTTTCTCTCAACTTATTCAGTGCAGTATAAACACGGCTTTAGTACAGAGACAGCTTGATAGACGAAGTACTCTGACCACAATGCAATTAAATTAGATATAAATATTAAAGGATAACAAAAAAACCCCACCTAGGTTAAAGAAGAAATCATAACGGAAAAAATATTTAACTTAGAAATGAACAAATTATAAAATTTGTAAGATGCAGGTAAAATGTAGTTGGAAATTTTTAACATTAAATACAGTCTTTTAGAAAAGAAGACTAAAGATCAATGAGCTGAAGAACAAAGTTAAGGACTCACATGACCTGATTTCACTTATCATACAGTTTCAGTTATCAAGATGGTTTGGTAATCATGAAAGAAACATAGATCAATGGAGTATAATAGTCCCACCATATATGATCAATTGATTTTTGACAAAAATGTAAAGGTAATTCAATGGAGAAAGGACAGCCTTTTTACCCAAGAAGCCATCACTACAATCAAGATACAAACTGTTAGTATCTTCAATGGAGTATTACTTAGCAATCAAAAAGAATGAAATCTTGCTATTTGCAACTACATGGATGGAACTAGAGGGTATTATGTCAGAGAAAGACAAATATCATATGACTTCACTCATATGAGGACTTTAAGATACAAAAAAGATGAACATAAGGGAAAGGGGAAGGGAAGCAAAAATAATATAAAAACAGGGAGGGGGACAAAACATAAGAGACTCTTAAATATGGAGAACAAACAGAGGGTTACTGGAGGGCTTGTGGGAGGGGGGATGGACTAAATGGGTAAGGGGCATTAAGGAATCTACGCCCGAAATCATTGTTGCACTATATGGTAACTAACTTGGATGCAAATTAAAGAAAAAAAATGTTAATATCTTTTAATTATTAAATGTATTTGTTTTGATGAGTATTTTAGTTTCATGTAATGAATGGTACATGTCCTATCCCATTAGAAAGAATTCAGAATGAATACACCATAAGATTAGGTGAAACTTGGGAGTTGTACTTTTTAAGGCCATTTCTTTAATTTAATCCTAGTTGTATGACCTTTAGCAAGTCGCTTAATTTCTCATTTTCCCTTTATTTTTCTATTTCCTTACGTCTTCTCTCCCCCTTTCCTCTAATGTTTTTGTGAAATGAAAACATGAAAAATATGGTCCGCAAATGTGGGATAACAGAAATGCTCTGGATCTTGTTATGGTGGTGACAGTTTCATGGGTATAAATATTTGTCAAAATTCATCAGTTGTGTACTTTTAAGAATGTAGTTTAGGGGCACCTTGGTGGCTTAGTCAGTTGAGCATCCATCTTCAGCTCAGGTCATGATCTCAGGGTTTGTGAGTTCAAGCCCTGCATAGGCTCTGTGCTGACAGCTCAGAGCCCAGAGCCTGATTCAGATTCTGTGTGTGTGTGTGTCTCTCTCTCTGCCCCTCTCTCATTTGCACTCTGTCTCTTTTTCTAAAAAATTAACAAACATTTAAAAATATTTTTAAAAAAGAATGTAGTTTATCATTCATAAATTACATTTTGGTAAATAAACTTTAAAAAGAAAAACATACCGGCACCTAGGGGGTACAAAGCAATTGTTGATTTGTTCCTCTATCCTCTTCCTTTTTCACTTTATTAACTTGAGAGGAAAAATACCTACTCACTATTTCCCATATGAAAACCTCTAAAAACGGATTGAGATAATTATGAGATTATTTCTCTGCCTCCTCTCCTCCACACCAAATCCCAATATTTTTCATTTTTCATATGAATTTTACTTCAATAAGATCTTAAATCTAGATTCTATACCTCTCATCTCAATTAATGAACAAAAACAGAGTAATTCATGCACATGCCACAAAATATCTTGAAGTCCTTAAGTGTCAGCTCCACTAAAGTCTATGGACATCATTGGTAGTATTATGTTGTTAATTCATGTATTAAAAGAGGTTTACTATGCCCCCCTTAAATCCCATTCAACCAAATTCAAAGGAAGCCAGCTAAACAAGTACTATTTTCAAGTCCTTTACTGACCTGGCTATATACTCCCAAAGTGAATCATATTATTTAAAACAATAGTGGCTTAGACTTTTTTTTTTTTTAACACCATTAGAGAAACTTAAAGTTTCATTTTCTTTTTAACATATCAAATGTAAGTTTTGGTACCAACACAGTTATGTATTTATGTGTTCTGAACTCAAACACCTCATGTTGGGCTTTCTTATATTAATGAATTCTCTACCTGTTTTATCAGTAAAATTAAACATAGACTGTCTTCCCTAAATTGCTAAAATCATAGAGTTCACCAAAATGGATTATTAAAAAAAAATCAGACTAATCTTGAAATCACTACAATTTCCAAAGTAAACACTTTGAGCAAGATTGTGATTTGCCACATTGTTTGTTTTTAAAGTATAATTTTGTTTTATATAGAGCATTCCTCACACTTTTTCATCTTACACTTTTTGATCAATATTTATCACTTCTAAAGAAGTTAGAAGCTGATAAAAAATAAAATTGCCTTCCCCCACCCCAGCACATTTTACTGACCTACAAAATGGGCTGGGAATAGTGGGTATCACATAACACATCCCTCCATTCAGGCAAAATGACCTGTGACTGGGACCACAGGGCTCTTCGTGATCTAAACATATACATAAATGAAACTAGAGAAAGGCAAATTAAGTTTTTCTAATAAAACAAGTAAAGGACCAAGTATCTTAGACTGAAGTGGCGATTCTAAAAATTAAATGAAGAATTGCTTCTCAAAATGAAGAACTTAATCTTATTCCTTATTTGATAAGCAGGGACTTCTGTCCCTTTGAGGGAAAAAAATAATATGTCCTAAGGATATGACCATTAATTATAGGATTAATTATAGATTTATAGGTTATATTACAGACATAAGGAATCTCTATATTCATTAGATTTTTAAAAGGGAATTAGGATCTTAAAATAAATGGTGGCTTTTCTCATTTAATACTAAGACTCTGCAACAGCTTTTGTTTAGAGTTTCTCTGTTCCAAAGGTATATTTAAATTCTTATCTTTCCTTTTGGTCTCAAATTCATTAAACTATGAAAACTGCTATTGGAAAATGATTTATGTAATTGAAATAAATTCTGATTTCCAAAATTATCTTTAAATATTTCATGTATGACAATTAAAAAAAAACAAAACAAAACCCAGGGATGCCTGGCTGGTTCAGTCAGTAGAGCACGAGATTCTTGATTTTGGGGTTGTGGGTTCAAGCTCCACGTTGGGTATACAGATTACTTAACAATAAAATCTTTAAAATAACAACAACAACAACAACAACAACAAAAAACCCAAAAAGTAATCTTACAAGGTTTTGATTTGCAAGAGGATTTTAGGTAACAGCTGATAACTGAAAAGACATCTAAAGTTCTAAAGTAAAATTAAAAACCTAAGTCATTGCTTGATATACAGCCAAAACTTTTAGAATATTGAAAAAATAAACTTCCATTTCTTGCATGCTTTCCCTCCCCCCTTCTTTCTCCATCTTTACGTCCTTCTTTATCTTTGACCCTTCCTTTATCCTGCTTTATCTCTTTGTCTTCCTGGTCTCCCATGGTCCCTTTCCTTCCTTCTATCCTGCACCTCCTTCCCCACACCTATTTTTTTTAAACTTTTTTCTTTTATTCCAAAACCATTATGTAGAAAAATTTAGAAATATCTCTAGAATTCGCTGAGTCATTATATCACTATTTATAATTAGAAGAACAAATTGCTGAACACTTTATCTTTCAGCCTTTAAGAGGGATAAAACTGCACATTACTGCTTCCTAACTGTCTAGAAAATGACCTAGAATCATCTTATGTGAAGAAAATGGCATTACTCAGATTTGGCATTAAAAAAATCAGCTAGCATTTACTTGCCACTGAATATCAACAGTTGTTAAGATATAATTGCTACTGAGCCAGATGTCTCTGCCACCAGAATTTAAAATTTTTAAATATTTCTTTTACTTCAGATTTAAGAAGAATTGGTTTCACCATGACATTATAACTATAAAAGTATAAAAATACAAAGAAAAAACCAGAATTACAAAAAAATTTAGGTGGGAAAAAAGAAAGTAAACCAATCAGAACTAATCCTTCTGGATTTTTTCTTTTTTACACAATAGTGTGCTTCTTTACAATGAAACAACTTTTAATAAGATAATGCTTACCATTTTTCAGGAATAATTTGGCTAACAAATAAAATCCCAATTAACATTACATCAGAATCACAGGAATCATCACATAGGGTTTTCTACTGGTATTTTACCTATAAAGAATGCTCATCTAACTTGAAGCATTATCTCTCAATCTATTTTGTTACTTTGATTTCATTTACTCCTTTTTAAAAAATTTATTTATTTAAGGGGTGTCTGGGTGACTTAGTTAAGCAACTGACTTCAGCTCAGGTCATGATCTCACAGTTTGAGTTTGAGCCCTGCATCTGGCTCTGTGCTAACAGCTCAGAGCCTGGAGCCTGCCTTGGACTCTGTCTCTTATCTCTCTGCTCCTCCCCCACTCACTCTCTGTCTCTCTGTCAAAAATGAATAAACATTAAAAACAATTTTTTTAATATAAAAAATTATTTATTTAAATTCAAGTTAGTTACCAGTGTAGTATTGGTCTCAGCAGTAGAATTTGGTGATTCATCACTTACATATGACACCCAGTGTTTATCCTAACAAGTGCCCTCCTTAATGCCCATCACCCATTTAGCCCATCCCCCCAACTACCATCCCTCCAGCAACTCTCAGTTTGTTCTCTGTATTTAAGAGTCTCTTATGGTTTGCCTCCCTCTTTGTTTTTATCTAATTTTTCCTTTTCTTCCCCTATGTTCATCTGCTTGCTTCTTAAATTCCACATATGATGATATCACTTACTGTTTTGTAAAGTTGGTATCAGATATAGGGTAAGCTAGAATTTGTCAATTTGTAAAAAGCAACAAAATATGTCTAAAATAAAATATTTTCATGCTATAAAAAGTGATCTTTCAAAACCAAAACATTTCAGATCTCTGGAACAATTTTAGATGGGGAAAAATATAGCTTTGTATTAGCACACTTTTTTTTGCGGGAGTGTTCAATTGCTATGTGACATACACTGACATATAAATTTACAAGAGGTTACCTGTTGGCATCTTAATTTTTAAATAGTTTCATTCTTGGTCAAAAGTTTAAGATTGAAAAACAGCACCTAAAATTAATAATTTAGGAGAAATTATCTTTTGAAGGCATTATAAAAGTCAAATATTCTAATAGCAAATATTTTAAGATGATGAAAATGAAGACATTTATACGTTAGTGACAAAATTCTTCAGTTAGTTTATCTATTTGTTTAGATACCACATATCAATAAAAACATCTGAACATAAAAAACTAAAAGATCAACATTAAAAAGTACAAATACAGTACATAAAAAAGTCTAAAAGTATATGACTCAGTATATACAAAATATAAAAGATATGACTCAGTAAATGAATGACCTGAATTCACTTTTTACTTTTTCATAAAGCCTATTACTAATCTGACTTTTAAACAGAATTAATCAATAACTTCCAAATTTTCAGTTTATCGAAAATGGCCAAAAATATACTATGGAAAAAATCTTTAATAGCATTTAAAGGTTTGCATTTCTATAGAACCTTTAAAACTTTTATAAAAGAACTGTACTTTTACAAATTTACTGTAGATTGAACATTATTTTACCAATTTACATATGCTTTCCTTTTAAAAAATATCTGGCATCTGGCACAGCAAAGTAGCTATTAAGACGTATGTGAAGTTACCTGCTATAACACAAACAAAGGAATTAAAAAAAACACATGAAGAGATGAAGGATACTCACTCTATGATTACAAGCTCTCAATTTCGTTTTATAAAGTGACTTACTCCTGACAGGAAGACTTTGTAACAGAAATCTCAATCAACAGCTTCCTATTAACACAGGTGTAATATCAAGGTTTCTTCCCAAAGCCTTATACAGACAAGCAAAGAAAGACAGAGACATAGAGAGAAATTAAATCTACTTAATTTGAAATAATCACTAGCTAACTGCAGGAGTCCTTTTTTCAAACAAACAGACTTACCTCAATAAAAACTTACATTCATACAAACAACAAATTTTGTTGGATATTCAGCGTTTCAAAAGTTTTTGAATACTGCGGACTACATCTGTGCCTTGCATTTTATAACCAATTGAAAATCTGATTTATATGGCTGTAGTGTGCAGTGTGGGCAAGGTTGAGACAAAGACCAAGGTGTGCACAGAAGTCAGGCACCAGCCAAGGGAAACACCCCTTTCAGTTCTCATGTTCAGAGTTGCAAATGAAGCAGAATTTTATTTATAAAAGGACTTGTACTAAGCTGCCCTCTCAAATCACTGTCCAATTTTTAAAGTTATAAAATAAACCACATTCTTTAGACTCCTTATTTATCTTTTCATGTAGGAATAATTCAAGAGCACTGTATAAGTTTGTGGAGAAAAGGAATTTTAATTGAGAGCTAATGGATAAAGTTTCCACAGGGTATTTTAAAAAAAGAATTTCCTTACGAAGCACATGACATTTATATATGATGATATGAAGGACTTACAAAACTAAAAAGAGGTAATAGTTACAACAGAACAGATAACATCATGTTCAATTTGAAATGCATATAATTACTGAACATGACTAATATTAATGGCAATGAAACTACCTGCAAACTATGGTAAAGCTATAATATATGCATTAAGCAAACCCTGAGTTTTAAAAATTATAAATTTTTTACTTTATTTTATTTTACTAATGTTTCTTTATTTATTTTGAGAGAGAGTATAACCAGGGAAGGGGCAGAGAGAAAGGGAGAGAGAATCCCAAGCAGGCTCTGTGCTGCCAGTGCAGAGTCAGACGCTTCACAAACTGTGAGATCCACAAACTGTGAGATCATGACCCAAGCAGAAACCAAGAGCCAGACGCTCAACTGACTGAGCCACCGATGTGCCCCCAAAATCATAAATAATTTTAAAATGTTGACTAAAACTATAATTTTGTTTAAAATGAAGTACAGGGTTCTTCATCATATAATTACCTGAAGTATGCAAAGCATTTAGATGGTTATCTTCTCTAAAATAACAATTCAGGGGCGCCTGGGTGGCGCAGTCGGTTAAGCGTCCGACTTCAGCCAGGTCACGATCTCGCGGTCCGTGAGTTCGAGCCCCGCGTCAGGCTCTGGGCTGATGGCTCAGAGCCTGGAGCCTGTTTCCGATTCTGTGTCTCCCTCTCTCTCTGCCCCTCCCCCGTTCATGCTCTGTCTCTCTCTGTCCCAGGAATGAATGAACGTTGAAAAAAAAAAATTAAAAAAAAAATAAAATAAAATAACAATTCAGACATACTACTTGATGTGAAACTAGTATAATTTTTATTTTAATAAAGTATTAAAATAAACTCATATAACCCCAAACTCTGAAAGCAAATCATTATTGCATATTATTTCTCACATTCAAAGGCAATTTTTACACAGCTACAATCTTTATATATACATATGCATACACATATACATATATATTAATCATGTTAGTTTATTTACAGTGTTTGCATTTTAAAATGGTATTTTTAAGAAAAACGGTAAACTTTATTATTTTATTTGAACTACAGAACTATGATGCTGTACACTAACATGAAAACGACTACTAAATCTTAATGTGAAAGATAATAATCTGTAGCTTCATCCATGACATTCAAGATGTATTATTCAGAGATATATCTTGGAAATTGGTTTGGTATTATTTTTGCACAATGCAAATGAACCTAACCTTTGAGTCTATGTGATTCTAAAGTAGAAAATCTAACAATTTTCTTTATTTTTAAGTTTATTCATTCTGAGAGTGCATGCGCAAGCAAGGAAGGAGCAGAGAGAGAGGGAGAGAGAAAATCCTGAGCAGGCACTCTGCACCACCAGCACAGAGCCTGAACCAGTGCTCGAACTTACAAAATGCGAGATCATGCCTGAGCCGAAATCAAGAGTCGGACACTTAACCAACTGAGCCACGCAGGCACCCCCAAAAATCTAACACTTTTCAAGATAACTTAACTCGAAATGAAAGTCTTGGTCTTTAAGAACAACTTATTTATTCATTTACCTATCAACAAAAATGTAGTAAGTGGCCTACTGCTTTTAACAAATGACAGGTACATAAGTAATTACAAAAATGTTTTATGCTGACTCATTTAAATCATATTTGGACTTACAAAAATGACAATTTCATTCAAATCATACTAATATATTCTCACAGACACCTATGTATGTCACTATATTAACATATACAAAAACAAAGCTTAACTGTTACCAAGAAACAGGAAAAGATTCTAAGAGGAGGTATTATTTGTGCTGAGCCTTGAAGAATGAGTAAGAGCTTATAAACAGAGATAGATGAACATTCCAGGCAGAATTAACAGCATGTTCAAAGGCAAAGAAGAAAGAATGTATTCCTAATGTACTCAAATAATTACAGGTAGATAGCAGGCCACGATCTGTGCAGAATATGTGTGTAGAGTGTGTAAGGGTTTGTAGGAAGGCAGGATGGTGGGGGAAAAGAGCGGCAGGAACAGATAATGTAAAATAAAAAGGGTCCACATGATAGACATTATCTTAAAGGCTTAAAGGATTTGTAGCAAAGGAGAGAGAAGATCACATCTGCATTCTTGAAAATTCATTTGGATGGCAATGTGGAAAATAGACTGCGACCTGCAGAGGAATGGATATCAGGCAAAGCAGTTTAGAGGCTATTTTAATAATCAAGAAAGTGAAGAAGTAAAGCAATGGGCATGAAGATGAGAAGGAGAATTAAAGATACACTTAACAGGTACATCCAGAGAATGGGTGAGCAGTATATGAAAGAAAGAAATGAAGGCTTACTTTTGAGTATCCATGAGGGACACATATTTGAAACCACAATGAGGTATCATATCATACCTTTAGAATGTCTATAATAAAAATGATACACAATAATAAGTGCTAGCACAAATACGGAGAAACTGTATCTCTCATACTTTGATGGTGGGACTGTAAAACGGTACAACTTTGGGAAATAGTTTGATAGTTCCTTAAAAAGTTAAACATAAATTTACCATGAATGTATCCAAGAGAAGTGGAAACACACGTCCACACAAAGACATATATGAAAATGTAGAACGTTATTCATAATACCTAAAACTAGAAACCACTCAAATGTTTATCAACTGATAAATGGATTAAAAAATATGTTTATAGCCATACAGTGAAATGCTGTTCAGCAATAAAAATGAAAAAAGTATTAGAACATGTTACAACATGAGTGGATTTCAAAAACACGCTAAATAAGCGAGTCATGAAAGACTGCATATTGTATGTTTCTATTTATACAAGATCCTTGGAAAAAGCAAATCAATAGAGACAGGAGTAGATTAATGATTGCTTGGGACTACAGCTAGACACAGGAAATGACTACAAATGAGCATAAAGAATCTTTTTCGAGTGATGGAAATGTTCTGAATTGGATTGTGGAGACGGTTACATAAACTCTAAATTTAATGTCATTGAATTATACACTTAAAATAGATGAATTTTATGGCATATAGATTATACTGATGGGGAAAATAATAAACCCTGACCTTGATAGGGAAAAATTATGTTATAAGATGGCCAACAGGACTGATCGGGAATTCCAGTCCTCGCCTGAAGACTCTCCTGGGTTCTTCTTCCTGCCCCGTTTGCTGCTCACACCAATTGCCACTAATGCGGAAGTAGCAGACTATAAATTGTCCCCCATGCTTATGCTCTCTGGGCTCAGATCTTTGGAGAAACCATCTCCCCTGAGCCCATCAATGTAAATAAACTTCCGATCCTCCAAGATCTCTGAGCGCCGCTTCGTTCTTCCATTAGCGATCCAGCCTGGTTCCATAATAATACCTCAACAAAGCTTTTTAAAAAATAAAGGAATATCGGGCGCCTGGGTGGCTCAGTTGGTTAGACATCTGACTTCGGCTCAGGTAATGATCTCGTAGTTCTTGGGTTCAAGTCCCATGCCGGCTCTGTGCTGACAGCTCAGAGCTTGGAGCCTGCATGGGATTCTGTGTCTCCCTCTTTTTCTGTCTCTCCCCCATTCATGCTCTGTCTCTTTTGCTCTCAAAAATAAATAAACATTAAAAAATAAATGAATAGGGGCGCCTGGGTGGCGCAGTCGGTTAAGCGTCCGACTTCAGCCAGGTCATGATCTCGCGGTCCGTGAGTTCGAGCCCCGCGTCAGGCTCTGGGCTGATGGCTCGGAGCCTGGAGCCTGTTTCCGATTCTGTGTCTCCCTCTCTCTCTGCCCCTCCCCCGTTCATGCTCTGTCTCTCTCTGTCCCAAAAATAAGTAAACGTTGAAAAAAAATAAAAAAAAAATAAATGAATAAATAAAAAAATAAAGGAACATAAAAACAGATTTCATGAGTAAAATAAAGATTTCCATTAGGTCATATTAAATTTCAAGTGCTACTGGGACCTATGGAAAGAAATGTCTGAAAATGCAGACCTTGCATTTAGGTTAAAATGAGGTTTGACATGAGAAATTTGGGATTCAAATTCCACAGGTGGTTACTGAAGCTATTTATGTGGATGTACTAGCTCAGAGTGTGCATGTGTCATGTGACACAGAGACCAATGGATTGATCCCTGGAAAACATCAACATTTAATGGTTGCAGAAGGAGCCCATTAAGAAATTATCAAGGAAATAAGAGAAGAACAAATGTGACCAATGGCAAGATTTTCTTAAACAGTTTCTGTTTTCAGTTTGCTGGTGTTTACTTCCATAATTCAAAACACTTATTCTTATTTCTATAATCAGTATCCTAGACAACAAAGTCCCAGCCAGCAAAGATGAGGCTTTGTTCCCTTACACTACTCTCTTCCTTTTTAATTTGAATATTTGGTAAGTTACATTATCTTTATTTCTTCTCTTGGTTACATGTGTAATTTTAAATAACATACTTCTATGTCTTAATCAATGAATTGAGTCAACTCATGGACTGACTCCTTACCATGTAAAATAAGTAACTGCAAACTCTGCTTCTACCTTTTGTCTCCCTCTGCTTCCTCATTCTGCTTTGATGGCTGTATCTTAACTCTTCATTATGAAGGTTCTTTTTTTTTTAAAGTGTATTTATTTATTTCTTGAGAGAGAGAGAGCATGAGCAGGGGGTGGGGCTGAGAGAGGGAGAGGAAGAATGCCAAGCAGGCTCTGTGCTGACAGCACAGATGGAGTGGGGCTCGACCTCAAGAACCGTGAGATCATGACCTGAGCCCAAATCAAGAGCCAGACAAACACTTAACCAACTGAGCCATCATGGCACCCGCATCATGAAGGTTTTTAACATTTACATTCTGGTATGTAACCCTAATGAAGTCTTTCATAACTCTGTCTCTAAATTTACTTTAAAAGTTGAAAAACAATAAACTTAAGTTTTATTAATGTAACTATGTAAATAGTATTCACAGCAAATTCATGCAGTATGAAGAATAACATTTCCTCTTCTTGTTTCAGAGTCACATACCTGGGCCACTAATAATATTTCCAGCAGCAACACAGAATAGATTCTCTTTTCTTAAGCTGTAGATTGGTTAAAATCATGTAGCATGATTTTAATGTGCATCTTATTTGTACCACACTATTCTTACATAGTTTGGGGTGGCTGGGGAGAGACTGAAAAACAAATGTGCTGTATCATAAGATCTCAAATATTTAGCTCTTAATCATACAATTTACTGCATGTAGTCCCCTTTTATTTTCTGAGAGATTCTTTTCAAAGCTCTCCCCTACCTCCTGCTCAAATCTGGACTGAATGTTCTCTAGAACTGCTACCAAAGTCAGCTGGCATTCTAAAATTTCCCTTAAATGATCTTTTGGACCGATTCCACCTTCCTAGATCACATGTGTTCCTGTGGGTTTTACTTTATTTTCCTGCATTACCTTGTCAACTGACTTCCGAAAACAGGATGCGGTAGAAACTTTGAATTCCTGCATAACTAAGACATCTTGACTGGTCATATTACTTTACATGGATAACAACTGCCCTTCAATTTTTATATTGCTTTATTTTCTTCTAGTATCCAGTGATATAGATAGAAGTCCAATTCCAGTCTGATCATTAACACTTTGAAGGTAACCTGTTTGGTTGTTCTCTCCCTACCCCCTAGAAGTATTTAAAATCTTCAATTTATGTTTGGTGTTTTAAACTTTTGAGACACCTGGTCTCATTTTCACACAAAAAAATTTCCCATTTGTGCTGGACAATCATTTTTCGTCCCTTTCTACAGAAAGGTCCATATTCCTTAAGCCTTGGGCAATTTATCTGTTATTATTGTTTATTTTGATAATTTTCCCCTGTTATAAAACTCCTTTAATTTGGACATTGGACACCCTAGATTTGTCCCCTTTGGGTCTAAATTTTGTCATATTTCCTTTCATCAATGTTCTGGGAGATTTTTTTTCAACTGTACCTTTCATCCCTACTACTTTTTTAAAACTTCAGTGATATTTTTAATCTCTAAAAAGCTATTTATTCTCTTATTAATTTTCCACAGCTGCTCCCATTTTAGGGATTCAACAACAATTCAAATCTCTCATAATACACTGGTTAAAAAATATCTCTAGGTTCTTTTTGGTGCCCTGCATTACATTACTTCCTTCCAGTATCAGTTTTTCTGTTTATCTTGGTCTTCTCTATTATGTTGCTTTTCCTCAAGTATCTGGTAAGGCTTGGTTGCCTATTCATATTTAAAACTGCAGTACTTGGGGGCACCTGGGTGGCTCAGTCAGTTAAGTGTCTGACTTTGGCTGAGGTCATGATCTCACAGTCCATGGGTACGAGCCCCGCATTGGGCTCTGTGCTGACAGCTCAGAGCCTGAGACCTGCTTCAGATTCTGTGTCCTGCCCCCCTCATTGCCCCTCCCCCATTCACACTCTGTCTTGCTCTGTCTCTCAAAAATAAGTAAACGTGAGAAAAAAAAACTGCAGTACTTGATTGATTATTCTAGATAAGAGCTGTGGATTCCTCTGCTGTTCTGTAAGTAGATCTGTTTCCCAACAGACCTCCCACCTTGAGTAAGAAGTAGGATTAGGTGTTCCATATACCTAGGGAGAAACTCGACAGGCAGGTTTATTTTCAGGAAGAGCTGGTAAGGAGCTAGCTTTCCAACTGCACAGCCATCAGATGAGAGATTGAGGAGGATCTTCTTCCTAAACAGGGTGGAAGTGAATTACAGATCACAGGTCAGACTGTTTCAGTATAAAATGACTTTTATTTTTTAAAGTGTTATAGAAAACAAACACAAAAACTACAAGAGGCATATTCCACTGAAATCATAACCTTATGTGGCCTGCAAATCTTAAAATATCCACCATCTGACACTTTACATAAAGTCTGCTGACCCCTATTCCAGAGCCAACAACCCACACTACAAGTCCTAGCTCCCCACTGATTTCACTTAATCTCTTTAGAAGAGACTTCTTTTTTTCTTGGGGGTATATACACCTGACTACACTCTCTCCAGCCTATTCTGCATGCAGGAAGCGGGGAGGGTATTATCACAGGTGTTTTATATACTTATCTTCAGTTAAGTCTTTCCCACCCTCCCTACCTTAGTCAATCCTATTTCTTACTCTTGTTCTCTGTCCTGCCTGGTAAGACTATTCCTGAAAGTCCCTCTGCGGTTTTAGGGGAGAGCAGGGTGGTAGCACTCCCAGTTCACTGCAGTCTACTTACAGCACACTCTGGGCTATGGTTTTAATCCACCAACATCCATTTTCCATCTTCCAGAAAAGTGGCCAAATCACATGTCTACTGATAACCCTTAACTCTTCCTTTCCTTTTCTCCTTGCTGTTTTAAGTTGACACCTCTTCATATCTACCTAATCTATTTTAACGGGATTTAAGAAGAAACAAGACTGTGAGTCCACATGTGCTAAATCCACAATCTTGAACCAGAAAACAGTTCTCACTATTCAACTCATGATTCTAACAAACAGAGAAGAATTACAGATTAAAGAGAAGTTGGCTAGCTTGCTGGTAAAAATAACCAATAGAATTAAACACAAATATTTAATTTTACAATACTGGTGGAATTAAAAGAAATAAATCATATGGTAAATGTTATAAAGAATCAAGGCAGAACAAAAATGATACATAAAATAAGATGACTGGAGGAAAATAAAGATATATCATTAATTTATTTATATTCATTATTAGTAAATCACCCACCATAAAAGATAAAACCCTTAAGACTATGAAGAGACAACTATATGTTATTCAGAGAAAAACACCCAAAACCAAAGATTAAAATTATGAGAATATACAACAGAAACTAGGTTGTATAGAAATATCAGACAAAATGGAATTTGAGGTAAAAACAAATAGAATAATGAAAGTTCACTTTATATTAGTAAAAGGTATATTTTATAATGCAACATCGTAAACCACTGTATACCAAATAACATTAAAGTACATAAACTGAACTGTTATATATAAAGAGAAATGGATTAGAGAAATTAAGTAACTTGCTCATTAAGCAGAAGAGTCTAGAATCAAAGCAAGAATATGACTAACTATAAAACTCTGCTTTTAACTCTAAAATCAAAAAGTATACCTTGCTTAGCACTTGTAAAACATATGATTTGGTTACATATCATATCACAATCTCAATAAATTCTCTATCTGTTAAGATGCTCTGTCTGTAAGTGCAAAATGACTTAAAATTTAAAGTGATGTCATCAAAGACCCAGGATCTTTCTGGTTTTGTGCTCTGCCAACCTCTTTGTAGGCTGCCTATATTCATGGTCTCATGACTGCTATGGCAATCTGGAAATAACTAAGATGACATTCAGAGGTTTAAAAAAACTCCCTTTACCTATGTCTCTTTTAAGTAAGCAAAACTTTCCCAGAGTACCTAACAGAATTTTCCTCCAGTATTATTGGCCAGAATGATATCATTTACTCATTTCTAAACCAATCACTGTCAAGAGGAGTGGATTCACCCTGTTTGAGTTAGATTATCAAGAGTCAGAAACTTTATAGCTCAGAAGGGACCAAACATTACCTGAAACAGATGACCACTTTGATAACCAAACAAAATCTGAGTATACCAAATAAAGGAAACAATAAAGGAAGAGTGGGGGAGTGGCTATTAAGGAAGCAGTCAGTGTCTACCATATATTCCTTAAGACCAGAAGTTGTACAATTTCTAATTTTTTTTTCCAACGTTTATTTATTTTTGGGACAGAGAGAGACAGAGCATGAACGGGCGAGGGGCACAGAGAGAGGGAGACACAGAATCGGAAACAGGCTCCAGGCTCTGAGCCATCAGCCCAGAGCCCGACGCGGGGCTCGAACTCATGGACCGCGAGATCGTGACCTGGCTGAAGTCGGACGCTTAACCGACTGCGCCACCCAGGCGCCCCTACAATTTCTAATTTTAATGCAATATAAATTAATTAAAAATTTAAAATTTTAGAACCTAACCTTTGGGAATCTGTTTTCAAAATTTTTTATCAATACACCAAACCATGCAAGATTACTATATATTACAATAGGTATCCTAGGAAGATGTTTCATAGTCCTAAATGTTTTCCTTTAGAACAGTAAAAATGAAAACTGGGTGTGAGTCTTGGCTCCACCTTTTACTAGTAATGTGGTCTTGGGCAAGCTACTTAAACTCTCTGAGCCAGTTTCCTCAGATGTAAAATGAGAATTATACAACCTATATTGAAAGAGAATCTGTGAGGATTAGGGATTATGTAGAGTGCTTGCAACAGTAACTGATATATAACCCATTTGCTAAACATGCATGTCAATAAAACAAACCTCAAAAAAGCATAAAGAAGATATTAAAAATAAAATCATAAACTGGAAGAGACAGAGAAGAGACTTAGTGAATAAATCCAAAAGCTACTCTTTGAACTAAGAAATAAAAACTCTGACCCATTACTGCACTATTTTCAAATATTGCCTCAGAAGTATCTAATGAGATAATAAAAAAAAAACCTCACTCTATATATACTAAAAGAAATTAGAGAAGAACAAAATATAATTGGGAAACCCAAAGGAAATAAAACAAGAAAGTCATAGAACTAGTAAGAGGATAAAGTAGCAAACTACAAAATGAATATATGAAGAGTAAGGTATTTTCTATAGATTGGCAATAATCAGCTTGCAAATATAACTGAAAAGAGATTGGAACAAAATTCTAAAATTAATATGTGTCTGCTTTCTCTCTACCTCCAAAACAAACATTTCTTAAAGTAAAAAGTATGAGTGAAAGAAAATAGTGTAATCTGCAGACCAAAAAATTAAGAGCTCTAAAAGAAAAGAGATGGGATGGCAATTATAGAGGAAATGAATGAGGCTTAAATATGTTTAGGAAGGGACTGATGTAAAAGGTAGGAAAAGTTCTAAGAATGTTCTGTGTTTAGAGGCAATGGATAAAAGAAGGGTATCCTGCATCCACTAGTAAGGAAAATAATAGGGAGACTAAAACAAACAAACAAACAAACAAACAAACAAACAAACGAAACAACATATAGGCAGATAAAACCTTCTTACTGAATCTTCCACTTATGTTAGCTAAGCAGTAGGCAACGTGCAAGTTTGCCCCAGGATGGAATACCGGCAGAGCCCAAGTGGCAAGAGGATTGAAGAAGGGGATGGACTACAATATGAAGAAACATCATTTAGAGGGAGGAAAGCAGAATAAACCTCAAATATGAGTAGGCATACAACTAAGAACCACCAAATGTTTAAAGAGAACCAATACCATGTGTTATATAATAAAGAATGTATTTGGTCTTTGTCCCTGGTTCCTGGGAGGGAAAGTAAATCTTTGGAATTTCCCAAGTAATAGGAGGGTCTTTGTTACTCATCAGCCCCTTGTAATCATTCTCAAGTTTATGAATTTATACTAATGAGATGATTCAAGAACCAACCATGTGATTAGAGGGTTGGGGCTGTGAGCCAGTCCAATCATTGGGGAGGAGAGGAGAGAAGGGACACTAGAGATTAAGTTCAATCATGTGACCAATGATTCCATCAATCATACCTATGTAATGACATCCCAATAAAAACCCTGGACACAGAAGTTCAGTAGAGTTTCCTCATTGGTGAGCACATGTATATGCTGGGAGAGTGACACGTCCTAATTCCACAGGAAGACAGCGTGGAAGTCCTGCATTCAGGACCCTCCTAAACCTTGTCCTATAGGTGTCTTCATTTGGCTGGTCCTGTTCTGTAATCATGTGTAGAGCACTTTCCTGAGTTCTGTTAGTTGTTCTAGCAAATTCTGAACCCAATGGGTTATGGGAACCCCCAAATTTGAAGCCAAAAGAATAGGTGGCCTGGGGAGTCCTAACTTGCAACTGGCATCTGAAGTAAGGTATTCTTCTCAGGCAGTGTGCACAGTGGCATCAGGCATCTGTGGAATCTGACACTAACTACAAGTGGTTACCATTAGAACTGTATTGGAGAAAAGCACTATGAAAAAGATATAGTGAATTAGAAGATTAAGCCAAGTAACACATTCTGGTTCTAATGCAAAAAGGCAAAGAAAAGAAAATCATGAGAAAAAAAACCTGAGAGACAGAAGAATAGATCCTCAAATTCCAACAAGACATTAAAAGAATTCCAAATGGTATGGAGAGAGACTAGATGAGGAAGAAATAAAACTGTTATTTTTTCCTTTTGAGTGAAAATAGCTGATGCATAATTTTTTAAAAATGAAATAATGTGAAACCCAAACTGAGAGATAAGAAGGAATATGAAACCTTTTATTATTGGTCAAAAAGAGGATACAGATTTTTGTAAGCAATGATTAGATACAAAAATACATTTAAATGTGAGGTCAAACTGTAAGAGAAACAACTGGAAGACAAGGTAAAAATGCAAAGATTTCTAAACCACTGAATGAAAAAGAAAGAAAAAGAATGACAGAATAAAGAACAATTGATCAATCTAGAAAGCACAGTGAAAGGAAAAAATAAAAGCAAGAAGAAAACACAATGAATTTAAAAAGCATAAAATAGATTGGTAATAACTCTACAAAATCAATAATCATAAGGACATTAATCTCAGACTAAATTATTTTTTATTTATTTTTAATTTATATCCATTAGTTAGCATATAATGCAATAATGAGTAGAATCCAGTGACTTATCACCTACATATAACACTTGGTGCTCATCCCAGCGGCCCTTCTCAATACCCCTTGTCCATTTAGCCCATCCTCCCACCCCAAACCTATCCAGCAATCCTCAATTTGTTCTCTGTATTTGAGAGTCTCTTATACTTTGTCTCCCTGTTTTTATCTAATTTTTGCTTTCCTTCCCCTAGGTTCTTCTGTTGTGTTTCTTAATTTCACATATGAGTGAAGTCATATATTTGTCGTTCTCTGACAGACTTATTTCACTTAGCATAATACACTCTAGTTCCATCCACATTGTTCCAAATGGTAAGATTTCATTCTTTTTGATCCCTAAGTAATACTCCATTGTATATATATGTATATACCACATCTTCTTCATCCATTCATCAGTCGATGGACATTTGGGCTCTTTCCATACTTTGGCTATTGTCAATAGTGTTGCTATAAACATTGGGGTACATGTGTCCCTTAGAAACAGCACTCCTATATCCTTTGGATAAATACCCAGTAATGCAATTGCTGGGTCATAAGGTAGTTCTATTTTTAATTTTTTGAGGAACTGCCATACGGTTTTCCAGAGTGGCTGAACCCCCACCAGTTTGCATTCCCACCAGCAGTGCAAAAGGGTTCCTCTTTCTCCACCTCCTCACCAATATCTGTCATTGCCTGAGTTGTTAATTTTAGCCACTCTGACAGGTGTGAGATAGTATCTCATTGTGGTTTTGTGTTTCCCTGATGATGAGTGATGGTGAGAATTTTTGTCATGCATCTATTAGCCATCTGGATTTCTTCTTTGGAAAAGTGTCTATTTGTGTCTTTTGCCAATTTCTTCACTGGATCATTTGTTTTTTGGGTGTTGAGTTTGAGAAGTTCTTTATAGATTTTGGATGCTAACTCTTTACCTGATATGAAAAGACAAAGGCTTTTAAATTGAGTAATATAAGATAATAAAACACAAAATAACGCTCAACATCCAGCTTTGTACTGTTTTCATGAGACATACCTAAAAATAACTGACAAAGTTAAAAAAATAAGAGAATGGAAAAAGAATGCAGTTAAATGCTAACCCAGCCTCACACACAGCAATAACAGTATCAGACAATAGATCTCAAGGCAAAAATCATAAAAGGAGATAAAGAGGAATGGTTCATACTGATAAAAGATACAATCCTCCAAGAAAAAATAATGCATTTAACAACAC